CGTTAAAATAGCTGAGGAAGTTCAACACAGCTAAAAGTAAAATGACTTGTATGAGGAAAATATTTTCTTAAATTGTAATTATAATTACTGTTCCTAGGTTAACTACTACCAATAAAGCACGAGACTTTAAGGCTATCTGTATTTTAAGAGCCATAAAATTACATTGGTCAGAAATACTGAAGAAAAAATATAACAATTAGGAAGTAGAGAACAAACAGAAATTGTCATTATGTGGTTAGATGGGATAGTGATGCCTTTTTAATATGTGTGTAGTTCTGGTCTCCTTGTCTAAGACAGAATAGAGTAAAAGTGGAGGGTGCAAAGGGAAGCAACAAGGATCATTCCACTTACAGACCCTTGGATGGACTGTGACCACAAAGGGTTGTAGGTTAGGACTTTTAATTCAGATGACAGGTATCTATAAACCTATGGGTGACAAAGCAAGGGTGACTTCTCTTTGTCTGCTCCAACACAAAAGCTAAGAGGCATCAAATAGAACTAGGAGGTGGCAGGTTCAGAATAGAACAGAGGAGATGCTGCTTCATACTGTGAAAATGGGTGACTTCTTGCCACAAACAAACACTGTGGGTGCTGGGGAAGTATTTAGAAGATGGATAATTACTTGCCATGCATTTATACTTCTCTTGAGATGTGAACTATTGGCCACTTATTTTTAAAGGGCAGAGTTAAAAAACCCCAGTTATCTATAAGTGCACAGGCCATACAGTGCAGGGAAGTTTCTGGCATTACTTATTTCCTTTTCAGCAGTTTCTCAAGTAGTCCCACAGAAGCTTCTCTTGCTAGTACTGGCCATTGCCAGTGTAGGAAGTTGTGTGTCTGCAAACATCTGTGTTGGCTTCTCCTGGCCCAGCGTCTGGTCTGCACATTGTTGCAAAATTTGGTCTCCCCTAGTAGTCCAACCAGCAGTGTCTCAAAATTATGAAGTCAGTGGTTACTTTGTCTGGTTACTTTGTCTGGTACCCTGTCAGTTTTGCAATATAACTCTTTTTTTTTTTTAACGGAAGCAAATGCATCTGGTAGGTTCTGTACAGATCTATCTATCTATCTATCTATCTATCTATCTATCTACACACCTTTCATTTTCTCTTATACTTTCCTTGAAGTTATTTTACTTTACTTTTAAATCCCTGGTTATCAAGATGAAGTCAATACATTGGCTTTCACTGGTATACTCAATCTGTGGAGTTACTAATGCACAATAAAGCTGTGAATTAGCTTGTGAATTAACTCTGCAAAGATTAAGTGGTTGCCTTTATTTTTAAACCCAAATTGAGTCCATGGAAATGCAGAAGTCCTTGCATAAGGACAGAGCATGCTAGATGTTGCTGTACAGTGCTGGGATGGAGATAATCATCCAAGCCAGATTCATTTTAACAGCTAGAGAGCTACTGAGCCTCTGTGCATTGCCCTTTCAAAGGCTTTATATTCCAAGAGCTTTATTAGCCTGTATGCAATATGGCACAAATGCACAGAGCAAGTCTTTATCTACTGCTGAATACGAGTCACTAAGCCCCTTCAGGCAATATGCAACTAGCAGCAGCTCATGAGGTTGTAACATTTGCAAAATGCATAGGGTTTTTCTCCCCCCAAATTACCCAAGATTTGTATGCATTTCAATGCTGATCTTAAATCCAGCATGGCAACTCATCTGTCTGAGTGGAGGATGGCATAGATTTACCAGAAAACAAGAGTCAAGTTTGAAAAAGAGCCCTCAAAAAACCCACAAATAAAATTCCATAAAAGAAAATGCAGAAGAAACAACAGTGGAATTTTTTTTCTCTGAGTAAATACAGAAGTCCAGCTGCTGACAGTATCATGCTGAAAGGGTGCAAATGCTGTGCTTTGTCCTTTGAGACCAGGTGGCTGTAGGAAGGCAAATGGGTTACAGTTATTAGAGATCATGTTCTTCATCTTGAAGCCTGAGCTGGGCTCTGACTGCTCATTTGATGTTCCCACACTCTCCAACCTAGTTCCTCTGGCGAAGTACAAAGCTATATATAGGAATGTACCAAATACATGTATCCAAAGAGGAGACTGCCTTTAAAACAACTACTGAACTTGATTGCTAGTGAATCTTTATGTACTTCCTAAGATGTGTCTTTAGCATTAACCAATACTTATAGTTTTTTTGATATCTCATCCTTATTTTCCATGTCTTCCCTTTGTCAACATCTAGTCGCTGTTACTATGTTAAGGAGACAAAGCTGTGGTATGTTTTGTTTTGATTTAATATATATTTTTCTCATCTGACATGAAACTTTATGAACAATTCAGGTGACGGTGCTGTTTTTGAGAAGTTGAGTATTAGAACATAAAAGAGGGTGATTGAAAATACTGGATCATCTTAGCCTAGCATCTGCTTTCCAAAATAATATGTCCCACTGCAAAGTATCAACCCCAAGATGCAGTTTCTGCCTTCAAAGTGCTGGCAGAGGTGTCAGCCTGAAGAGCTTCCTTGAGCAAGGCCTGAGACAGGCGCTGAACACTTCTGCTGTATGAAGGCCGCAAAACACACATGCACCATCCCAACACTGATCAACTTTGAACCAAAGCAACTGGATGGAAAATGTGGATCCGGTCACTACACCAGGGACTTCTGTACTCTATCCAGGGTATGTACTGACTGTCTGTGGCCTGAAAACCATCTTTACCAGGCATGAGGCTAACAGCAGGTCTTCTGGACTGAGATGTGAAAGAAGTCAACCTTTAGTGCTTGGTGCAGAGTGGCAAACTCGGGGGCAAAAAGTCAGAATCTGCCACATGATTTCAACTGCATATTGTCCTTAAGCAGTATCCACGTTGCAATATGTTTTAGGTGCAACCCTTCAGCTCAAGAATCAAAAAGGCTAAAGATTCCATGTTAATTAGTAATCTCTGGAGTCATACAGATCTGTAATAACTACCCACAGATCAAAGACATTTCATGTTTAGCATATTTTAATATCAAGATAGAATTAGCATTGCAATATCTGCAATTAAAGTATAGAAATCAGTATTTGGAAGAGGTCTTCTATTTATCTGAGTGAATACACATTCAGGAGTACAACCAAGGTTTTTGTACCAGCTAGCTGGAACACTAAAAGTTGCTGTAGGATTTTGTAGGTCACTGTGGATTACCCCAGCTGGATGAATGGGACTCAGCCCACTGAACATTTCTGCCCATGATCATTTCCAGTATACGTACTGAAGAAATGATGTAAAAAGAAGAAAACTCCAAATATTGGAATACCAACGTCATCTACAGTCATTTCAGGTACTGCTTCTTCTTGCTATGGCATTATTTTGATTGTGCTGAAACATAATCTAGAGAAGTAAAACCAGTGAAAATATTCCTTAAAGTGTTTCCATTTGCAAGTGTCAGTCCTTGAACCAAAGTAACCACATACTTGAAGATCCCTTTGTCCTTGATTTCTTTTCTGAAGCTTCCAACCTTCCCTGAAACTGTAAGTTGGGAATGTTAAAAGCAAAAAAGTAATTTGAATTTATCTAGTTATATCACAATTATATCCATTTATACTGCAACAACCAAAGCAAATTCTTCAGATTTTAGCCTTGATAATTGACACATGGTTGTAATAATGATTTATTATACTGCTCCCAGAATTACCTCTCCAACATACTGCTATGTCTTTCAAGGTTAACAAAAGCTGGACTGTGTGCATCTCTCTCAGAGAGTGCAAAACTTTTACTCTCGCATAAATCTTCGAACACTGGACAGAGGTCATTACAAGAAAACAGTAGGGTGCAAAAGCAGTTTACACTATAAATGATTTGGAAACACCCCCCCGAATAACTTCTAAATGCTGTATTTGCTACAGTGGTACTTAAGTGTTAATGATGCTGAGATGTGGTTTAAATGTAACCAATACATAGCATAGTGCCAACTCTTCTCAGCAACATTTATAAAGGTAAACCAGACCCAAGATTTTTCTGGCTAGGTTTCTTGACATCTCTCTTTTATCTTTGTCTAGCATCTCAAATTGCATGAACAATCTTCCCTCAGGTTGTTGTTACTTTACAAACTTCTGATTGTCATTATATATGCTGCCTATAATAACTTCACTAATAATCCTTTGGATTATAATAGGCAGCGTTCTGCATTATGCCTCTGAGATGAGTTAACCCTCCTCTCTCTTCCTTCTTCTATGATTTATAATATTGGTACAGTAAACACAGGCATCCATGAATTTAATTTGGTACCATTCTGCTGCAACATGGAGAGGTCACAAATGTGGACATGGAGTCCAGATCAATGAATGTACGATCAGCAAGTTGTGCCTGAATGATCAATCCCTGGATTGTATGCCCAGTGTATGCACACTTGCCTTCAAGTTTTGCAACAGCCCATTAGGGAGTATTCAGGCTGTTTCACAACAAATGAGTTTTGTTTTAAAACCAGCCTTAGGGCTGCCCTCTGCATTTATCATAGATCTACAGCTCTGGCCCACTGTGGCAGTCAGGATTTAAATGCAGTTTTCTGTGTTATTCCTGACTAACCCTTTTAAAAATACTACAGACAAATGTTCTGGCATTTGACCCATGAACTCCAGGAAGCAAGGTTTTGTAAGGCACTGCTATGGTCTTAATCCCAGATGAAATGTGAAATTACCAAAATACATATTCTGGTGGGAGCTAAGAAGACCATATCTGATGGGGGAAAAAAAAAAAGAAAATGAACACTATCAAATTCCACACAATGCAGCACAAGGGCTGTTTGCAATTGCTATGTGATTTAGATGGAAAAAAAGTATTCTCCAGCTTTGCCTAGTTCAATTGTAAACCCCCTGTAAATGCTGCTTCCATTTTGTCCCTTGGGAGGTGAGCAAGAGAGAGAGCTCACTCTGTAGTTTCAGTTCACTTATGATCCTGTGCATGAGGGAAGACCCTATACTGTACATATTATTTCTCTTCCCCTACCCCAAAATACCCTCTTAAATCACTATTTTTTTGGTTCAAACAACAAGGCTGACCAGGTGGAATTTTAAATAATTGTGGAATTTTTTTTATTCATTTAAGTTTCAATATCATTACAGAAAATGTTATGGTACAGAGTCGTTTAACATTAGTTTTATTTCTTTGCTCATTTAATTTCCACACGAGTGCTGGTAACACTAATATCTGTACAAGATCAGTCTTTGATTTTTTTTAGTTTTTAGTTCTGTACATTTTTAAATGTATTGGTTAAAAAGGCTGTCAGCACTTAAGGAAGCAATTTTTTTGTTTGTTGAAATAAAAGGTCTCCAGTTACTGCCCGAGAGTACTGAGCTGGGTGGCTGCTGGGACAAGAGAGATCCCTGAATGTGCAGCAAGGTGAGAACACCTTGGGGCTTCATTGGGTTCCCAGTGCAGCCACTCTGCTTTTGGCACTGTGCACATCAACACGAGATACAAGATAAAGAACAAGCAGAAGCTCTCTGTGAAGCGGTTATGAAGCATACTAATAAGGGAAATCCAAGTGTTGTCTACGCTAGTATAAATAAGCAGACAGCCTTGTTTTAAGAGCATAAGTAGTTGTATCTTAAAGATGAGAAAAAACACAAGTTCTGCAGGCACCTACTGCTTTCTACTAAAAGCTACCGCTATTAGAACTAGCATTGAACACACAAAGCAATTGCAAGGAAAGGAAAAAGTTGCTTTGATATGATCAGAATAAATTTCTTTGTTAAGATTTGTTTTAAAGTTTTTTTTAAAAGGTATTTATGTAAATTCCATTTGAAATATAATTCAAGATGTTGACTATACTGATCAACTTTTATCCAAATCAGAAAAACTAGCTGTGCCGTTGCATATTACAGGATACAGTCAATGATATGTGGACATGCATCAAAGCTTCACTCTTGCTGGTGACATCATAGCCTTCCAATAACCATGACATCCACCACCTCCCCCTTGTGAAGCTCCACATACTGCTCTGTCTTTGGAGGTAGCATCAACAGTCCATTGGCACTGCGCATACTCATCAGACGACTGCTCATCTGATTCCCTACAGGAGAGAGAGAGAGAACAATTTCAGGTAAGTCTTCAGTTAGTTCCAAATGCTGCAACACATCAAGTGAGAAACAAAAGCTGTTATTATGTTTATGTGGCTAACCTATTCATAAAGCTGGGATCTTGCTGTTCTGTGGATGGAAACAGGGAACTCTGGAGAATTAGTCAGCCTCTCATTGCACTAGCTCTCAAAACTGTCACTCCCTTTGCTGATTGCTTTCCTATCCAACCTTCCACATTACCTGTACCATGTATCTTTTACTAGTAAAGTGCTCCTCTGTTGGAATTTCTAATCCTATCAAAATTACTTTCGTTTTCAAGTTCTATACCTAATTCCAGTTGTACAAACACTAAAACCAGCACAGTCTAGAATGTTTTAATATACTGTTATAGAATAAGTTTGATTAACCTTATTCTGAGTAGAATAATTTAGGTTGGAAAAAACCTACAAGATCATTGAGTCTAGTCTTTGACTGAACACCACTATGTCAAGTAAACCATAGCACTAAGTGCCACATCCAGTTGTTTCTTGAACACTTCCAGGGATGGTGACTGCACCACCTACCTGGGCAGCCCATTCCAATACTTAACCACATTTCCAGTGAAGAAATTCTTCCTGATGTCTAATTTGAATCTCCTGTGGCACAGCTTGAGGCCATTTTCTCTTTTCCTGTCTGTAGTTGCCTGGGAGAAGAGGCTGACCCTCACCTGGCTACAACCTCCTTTCAGGTAGTTGTAGAGAGCAATGAGGTTCCCCCAGTCTCCTCTTCTCCAGGCTAAACAACTGCAGCTCCCTCAGCTGCTCCTCATATGACTTATTCTCTCGACTCTTCATTCTTCCTGAAATTTGAATCTCCTGTGGCACAGCTTGAGGCCATTTTCTCTTTTCCTGTCTGTAGTTGCCTGGGAGAAGAGGCTGACCCTCACCTGGCTACAACCTCCTTTCAGGTAGTTGTAGAGAGCAATGAGGGTGCCCCAGTCTCCTCTTCTCCAGGCTAAACAACTGCAGCTCCCTCAGCTGCTCCTCATATGACTTATTCTCTCGATTTGAATCTCCTGTGGCACAGCTTGAGGCCATTTTCTCTTTTCCTGTCTGTAGTTGCCTGGGAGAAGAGGCTGACCCTCACCTGGCTACAACCTCCTTTCAGGTAGTTGTAGAGAGCAATGAGGGTGCCCCAGTCTCCTCTTCTCCAGGCTAAACAACTGCAGCTCCCTCAGCTGCTCCTCATATGACTTATTCTCTCGACTCTTCATCAGCTTCATTGCCATTCTATAGACATGCTCCAATACCTCAATGTCCTCCTTGAAGTGAGGGACCCAGAACTGAACACAGTACCCAAGGTGTGGCCTGACCAGTGCTGAGGAATGATCTCTGCTCTAGTCCTGCTGGCTGATCTAGTCCTGCTGGCCACACTAGTTCTGATATAGGCCAGAATGCCATTTGCCTTCGTGGCCACCTGTGTGCACTGCTGGCTCATGTTCAGCCACCTGTTGATCAGCACCACCAGGTCCTTTTCTGCTGGACTGTGGGATACTCCTGTTTAGCATTAGCAGCTTAGCACTAGTAGCTAAAGTAGTTGAAGCCTTAGGCTGCAAGAGCTGACAGAGAGTAAACTTTTCAATAAAATGAATGCTGCTAACATAGAACTAGCTGAATCTGACAGAATGAAGATAACGACCAAGGAAACAATTCCATAAGAATGAGGTAACTTCAGAAGAAGGACAGCTCAGCAACAAAGAAAACCACTAAGAAATCAAGACATGTCAGGATCGGGTGGTGGGGGATACAAGTATAATTGGGCAATCAGGGGTAGGAGTCCCTTTCCAGAGACACCCAGCTTGAGCTGTAACCTGAGCACTGGAAACAGAGGAATTTGAAACCTTCACTTGGACTTTACATTTTTCAGTGGGACCCTAGGGTCAGACCCTTCTATAGAGGTCAGCTGTGTAAATCCTTAACACATACCTCCTCAAGAGAATGTGTTTCTTTGGGATACTGAGCTTCACAACACATCCTGAATATGAACAGGATCATATTGGTTGTACTGACAAAAAGTGAAAATGTAATAAAACGTCATTCACTTTAGTTTCTTGGTTCTCAGATTTTCATACTGACAGAGAAATCATTCCAGACAGTCTGTTTGTGTAGGAAAAGAACTGATGCACAACAAAAGAGAATTAAATACAGCATTGTAGATGTAAGTAATCACTTCGCTTATACCTGGAAATGTGTCAGAGGCTGTTTCTCTCAGTAAACAGTCAGGAACTAATATTTTCCCTGTAGAGACCCATATATAGTGCTTTGTATTGAACAATTTGGATGCAGCAAAAAGAAAATTAGATGTTCAAGGACCTGAATCTCTTGTGAAACTGTCAGAGTCAGTCTTCTAGCAGAACACAGCTAAAAAACCCATTCAAATCTAGTATTTACCTCAACTGCAGCTGAGTACCCAGTAGTATCCCTAGGTGGCAAACATGACTAATAAAGCATTAATGTGCTTTACGAGAACATATACAGTCTCTGCTATTTCTTCTACTTTTCCAGTTCAGCTGGAATCACACTTTTTTTATTCATATTGCTCCTACCTGTGTCCCAACTTTGTTTTTTTCAGTACATGCACAACAGCAAAAGGAAACAAATGTGCCTTAGTGCAAGTAAGCATGGTGGATGTTTATAAAAAGGAATGATGCACATATGCAGGCATACAGGTGTAGTGTGTGTTTGTGTGTATGTAAAGGCAGGTTAGTCAAAAAAAGGAAGTTTTAATGTTTAAGTTAGCAAGTCATATCATGACTGAATTTTGTACTACTGTACATTTATGCATGTGCACAAATATGTCAGCAAATCAGTCAGCATAAAGAAGGTTATATGAAAAAACATGTTCACACTCTTGGTTGTTTTCAGACAAGCCAAGGACCTGTGTGTATGTCTGTCAGTCCATGAGACTGGGCACTAACCTGTGCTCTGTGCCCAAGGTAGTGGTTCTTGGTGATGCCAAGTCAGTATGCAGCGATGATATTCTGGGCGAGGGTCCAATTTTACATCACATGATAACTGTAGAACAAAAAAAAGAAAGGATGAACATATCATGCATTCAGAATGCACTGAGATAATGGAATAATCTGCTCAATTGTTTTTCCTTAAAAACAGTCTTTTCAACAACTTGCATTTTCAGGTCAGGTGGTGTCTAGTGCAAGATTAAAAGCTGTAGAAGGCAGAGACCACAGTATTTAAGGGAAATACAACTGTAGTATAATATCAAAGTGTGTGATGGAGTTTGCACGCATTAAATGGAATATTCCAAAGCTTTTCCTCTACTGTGAGTTTAAAGATCATATGTCATTGGAAAAAAAAAGCTTTATCATTTCTTGTCTTTGCATTACATTGCATAAGATAAAAATGTTATTTGCATTCAAAATCCTGCTAGCTCTGACTGGAAATTTCCAGTCTTTGAAATGAGAAGACATACAGGGCATGGCTCACAAGAGAATTTAATGGAACACATTGGAAAATTCATGCAAAAATGAAGGTCACTACAAATTACTCTCTGTTTTAGAATATTTTAGCTTTGAGATAAAGAAAAATCTGGAAAGACATGGGTTAAGCAGTGAAAAGCACATAGCCAAGAACACTAGGAAAACTACAAAAGATGATGTGTTCCCTGGTACTTTATTTTAATCAAAAATAGAAGAATAATACATTATGACACATGTCTTGAATCTATATTAAACAGACTGACAATATCCATGATTTATTAGAAGACTGAAAAGAATAGTTTAAGGGATTTAATATTGCTTAGGGTGGAGGTCATGTGGGTTACTTACATAGACAACAGAAAGGCTTAAAGTTTGTATTTTTTACTGTTAATACAGAACTATCCAACTCCAGGTATTCCCAGACTATTCTGCATTTTTTACCACAGGTTACAACAAATGTGGCTTTTTAAACAGGAAAGTGTCCTTCCGGCCTGACTGGCAGATGGCTGCCTCTGCATCTATACATCTTGCTAAATTAGATAGCCATCTAACTCTCAGAAATTATGGGACTGAATCTTACCATTAACAGAGATTGAGAATGTACCCGTTTGTGTGAACTTCCTTTAATGGCCAGAGTTAGTCCAGTCCCCAGACACAAGTCTATCAGAGGCCAAAGAGCTGTGCTTCAGTATCTTTAGAGAATTTTTAAACTAGAGGACAAGCTTCTTACCCTGGCTTTGATGATGGTGGGCCGAGGATCCAGGATACCCTGCATTTTCCTCAGTGCAGGAACAACAAAGAGATTGCAGGTGACAACAGCTGACACAGGGTTGCCTGTGGGGCAAAGAACAGTTGGTGGTGACTCCCTCTTGATTTACTTTGTGAAATGCTGAAAATGAACTGGTGTATTGATAGCCATTTTACTCTAAAGGACTCTACGGAACTTCTCATGCTATGTACAGGAAATGTTTCACTCAAGACTACAGTGGCATGTGGCAAATACACCTGTTGAAAGCTACACTCTGGATGATGATGTGCTGAAATCCTGCTCTGACCAGAAGTGCCCCATGTTCCTCAAGTCCCATGACTTGCCTCTGTTCTTCCTCTGCCTTTGTCCTATGCCTAGATTTGTCTAGGGCTTGGGTTTATTGTGCACAGGCATTGGTCCTATCCTACAGGGCTCTTGGTTCTTAATCGTTCCCAGACACATGGAAAAGTAACTTTTAATTCCCTAACAGAGTGGCAAAATGCTTTAGCACAAAATCTGAGGAGAATTCTACTGATTTGTGTTTTCTGTTGACTTGCAAGAGCCATGCAAGACCACTTGTCAAACACCACACATCTGGACTTCCCTAGATGACAGTTCTAAAATAAATACTATGATCAGACAGATGCTCCATTCTCCTCTGGAAGAAAATGTATGGCAGCAACTAAAGCAAGAGAGGGTAAAAGCACTAGAGATACGTCTGAACACCACCAGCTTATCAAGAACAGGACTCCTTATGTAGTCAAAATCCATGGAAAGCGAGAGCAGTAAGATTAAGATAAATTCCTCCTGATTTAGGGGGACGGAGAATTGTAGCCAGATGCCTAAGGGAATGTTTATACTGAATGGGTGCTTTCCCCTGGCATGCAGCCGCCAGTGGTGCAGCTGTGCTGCCCTCTTTCGGTTCCATGACATGAGCACGATCAACAAAACTTTAAACAAATCTGTGACATGTTCCTTCGCACTCCCTCATTTTTTGTTACCGTTTCCAGTACATCAGAGTGGATGCACTGACTTACATGCACAGGATATTTACTGCGAAGATGAACAGAGCTGTAGGAAAATATACCCCTGTAAAATACCCAAGGAAATTGTTGGATGGAAGAAATCATAAGACCTGTACTCCCGCAAGTTCTGAGGACAGGAACAAAAAAGAACTCCTTAGTACATCCTGTAAGTCTGTCTCTTCTGGAAATTTCTGAGAAAATCTTACAGGTACCTTCCTTAGGGATGCCAGCATCAGGCACAGGTGCTGTGAAATATCACTATTCTGTTTCATGTCTGTCATCTATGCACAGCAACAGAAGTAATCCATAAAACATCTTACCTGGGAGCGCAAAGATTATTTTTCTTACGCCATCAATATCCAGAGTTGCAAAAGTTGTAGGCAGGCTGTGGAAAAGGAAAGTTGTTTAGTATCTGCATTAGACTTTGAATTAACATTATTATATTGTTTAGAACATTGGGAAAAGAAAACAAAACAGGCTATCACTCTCTCAGCAGTTCATTAGCACCTGCTGCTTATTCCATATTGGAGGATTATATCTTTTTGTGGTGACAGAACAATTAGTTTTTCTTGGTATTGAGCTATGAAGTTTGAAGTAGATGAGTTTGCTTCTGGACAGGAAACATCTAAAAGGAGATGAACTAGTAATCAAAAATCTAAATCTCATCTTCATGCTAGAAGCCAATTAACAAAGAAGTTATGCCATTACAGAGCTGTGTTTTCCATATAAGGCTATCCAGTTTTTAAAACATTGGTGACTCCAATTTCCTTTACTCCAGTCTCTACAGCAGTAGTGACAACAAAGCAGTGTTTCTGAGTAGCACATGCTCATTAGTCTGCAGATGCACAAATTCAGATACAGAGGCAGAGCTGCAGTCTGGTGAAACCTAGGTCTATCAGTGAAGAGCTCTCTCTGCCTTTCAGAGCTGTTCCTGTGTGATTTTTAGTGTCTTGTTATCTGGCCTATACAGTTAGACAAAAAGGACAGTAATGTGATGGCTCAAGAATGTGGCTGGCAAAGAAAAAGGACTCATCCATGAAAAACTAATTCTATACACCTATGTTAATATAATCCTTTTAAATATTAGAAATGATATCTCACAGGAGCAATAATTAGCCTGGGTCCCTTGACTTCATCTTGAGCTGACCATCATCACCTGGTCAGCAAGTGATAGTTGATAACCAGAATAAACTTTGGAGATTAGCCATGCTTTGATCATTAGTACCTGGTTTTGTATCAAAGACTAATCAATATCCTATTTTACCAGGGGAATTTAGTGTTTGATGTTTCTGTTTTAGAATGTCTCTTATGTGATGGAAACTATGTCCCAAACCTGGGGAAACTGAACTCTCATATGAGACTTCAACACTATGACTGGTAAAGTCTTCCAGTACTTTCTTCTGGCAGTGCTTCTAGACAAGAAACAACCTTACTCAGCAACTTTCACATCAAGTGGAGGTAAATCCTGGACACCACTCTGCAGTCAAGTAGCAAACCAAAATACAAGCATACAACAAATTGTGATTTTGCTCCTTGAACTTACTCAAGGGAGTTTTTCCCAATGTGGTAATCACAATTCATATCTAAGGTCTAGTAAGACACAGTTAGTAGAAACCAAGACACAATATTTGCTATTGCACTATGGCCAATGAAAATGATAGTGCTTACATTATCAGTAAGAAGAGATTGACCAAATATTCTGGTAGAAGTAAGAAATATCATTGTTATGGCATAAAATGAAAATGGACATTTTGGGAATAAAAGATTTCTAAAGGTTTTTCTAGCTAGTTAATAACAGTTTATTGCTTCATGTCTACAGAGGGATCACCAGAAGAAAGAATTATGTTTGCTTTCAGATAAGCCAGAACCAGAATTTAATATTCTGAATTCTTTAAATCAGGTTATGCATTCTTGTCAGCAGCAGAGGTTGGAGTGCATACCCCACTTCTGGGACTCCCCTACATCAGTTGTAGCAGTATGAGAGAAGCACTGAGCAATTTCCATGTCTGGGCTACATCCACCACAGGAAGAAAAATGCTTTCAGCTCACTCATTCCTTTTATGGAAGTGAGGTGGTGGTAGTAGCAGCACAAGCACCAAGGCCACATGAAGTTCTTTGCTGCATTGTATGCAGAGACAGTAAAAGTATTTGTCTGTTCTCATAGCAAACACCCATTTTCAGTTCTGCTCCCTGGCAACAGTCATGGGCTAGAGGGAATCATTCCTCAAAGCTGTCCTTGGTCTCCTGTTGCTGGACCATGCCAACCTGGCTTGTGAACAAACTGCCCTCCAGAGTGAGTGAGGCAGAGCTGCAGACATCTACCCGCTACTGTACTGTGAAAGGGAACTCTATTTTCAATACATGTATTTCGTTTTCTTCACAAAGCACACTTCCAGACACTACTGAGCAGTGCTACAACAAAGGAAACCAATGCTAAAACAGTTTTCCAAGGCTAACTAAGCACATAAAGAATTGTGCTTACTTTAAAATTGCTATGCTCAATATGCCAATTAGACAAAACTTTGTAGATTAGCTGTCATTCCACCTCTCTCAAAGACTTGCTTGCTTGTAGGAATATAATTTATGGAAATTTTGAAATGAAAATAATCATAGAATCATAGAATTTTAGGGGTTGGAATGGACCTTACATATCATCTATTCCTAACACCCCTGCCATGGGACACCTCCCCACTAGATCAGGATGCTCAAGGCCTCATCCAGCCTGGCCTTGAACACTGCCAGGATCGGGGCAGCCACCACGTCCCTGGGCAACCTGTTCCAATGTTTCACCATCCTTACAGTAAAAAACGTTTTTCTAATATCTAACCTAAACTTCTGCTCCTTCAATTTGAACCTGTTATCCCTTGTCCTATCATGACAAATGAGATACTTGTTAGACAAACTATCTGTTTAATGTCCTTATTTTTCCTGGTTGTTGCATAACAATGTCAATGTGAGCTCCATGACCACACTGGAGACTGTGGCAATGTTGAAACCATGATGGTTTCTCACCAGTTGTTTTTTTCCCACCATTTCCCACCACTGATTTGCAACAATTATCAGAGAAATATCTCTTACTGATAAAAAGCAATCTCTTTGTTCCATTTAATTTCACCCATAAAGATGATGACTAATCTGAATAGCACTGATTTTGCTTCATTTCCCATATATATCTATCCTGTGGTTTATAGTGTATTTGGAAAGCTGAAATCTACTGAAGCACTTCCATGGATATTTGGCTCAATATAGCTTCCATCTAGGCTGCCTAAGCAGAATGATTTCTTACCCTGGTTTCATAAAAACTCTGCCAAAGTGAATCTGTGCGTGAAGATCAATATCCAGCACCTGTTTAAGATAGTCCTGTTTAAATGTAAAAAAAAAAAATCAATTAAGTAACATCAAAGTGGCTTTATATCATCTAAGCATTCAAAGCAATTAATTAATATCAAGTGAAGATGAAAGACTTTCCATATCCTGAAAGTGCTACAGTCCAGTGGGGAATTTCCAGAATTTGAAAGGAAGTGTTTTTGAAAAGAAGAGGTAAAGGATAGACTCATTTTAGGTGCCAGACATGACATCAAGCTATTTTACTTTTGCCATGGAAGCTATCTAGCAGTAGATATAGAGATCTCCTACCACTTTTGAAATCAATACTGTACTGTAGAAATTATAGTTTTCCAGGATACTGTAATTATTGCAATTTCTTGGGGACATGGTCTAATTCACAGTGGTTGGGTTTAACATTCCTTAGAAAAGAAAAAATGTGGGTGGCTTGTGCATGAGTTTAAATTAAATGCTTTTGCATAAACTGATTGAATTACTTGTTTAGTCTTTATTGAAAATTGCTGTGCTTAAAGATGTAGTACCCTATCTGTTGTGTTTAGTGAGGCTAAAAACCCAAGACATAACAGTTATCTGTGAAGAGAGACTCTGGAAGCAGTAAATCTGAAGCTCCCTTGCAGTTTTCCCATGTTTCTCTTTAATTTTATTTTTTGTGTGTGCTCAAATACTTGGAAAGCAGCAACTCATTTCAGCCAGGCATGAATTCTCAATTATTGCATCCATTAATCCTGTCTTTACTTTCTATTTACTTTTTGGATTTCACAGTTATTTCATTAAAACTGTAGAAAGCTCAGTATCAGACAGCTGACCATCAGTGGAATATAGAGCCTATTGACTTTATGCTGTTGCCTCAAATTCAGACTGCTGAGGATTTAGCCAGAAGGCATGAATGCCTGTAAGACCATTCAGTGGTCCAGTCACTTCCCAGTGTTCCCATGTCTGCACTATGTCGACACATTCCCAATTTAAAGACCAGCACTTGTCCTTCACTATTTTTCTAGGAATAGTGAAGACAATGGGATTTAAGGTAATTGGCACTGGTTTAAATAATTATCCATTTTCAAGACGTATCCAACAATATGATTTCTACTCAGAAAAGTGACAAAAACAGCACTCATGTTTGTCATCTCCTAATGACTGTCTTTAGTATCTGTTAGTTATAAAAGGAGAGATGTTTCTTTTACCTGCCAAACTCACAGATTCAGCCTGGGATCAAAAAGTAATCTGAGTTTTCCTTCTCATAAGTCATGATTAATAAATGTCCTGCAGGTTCATCTACGCCCCACCAGCATCTGTGTATCCCTATTTTCTTTGATGGTTTTGGCACAGGGATTACCAACGGGAACTCAATCAACAATTCTGTTAATGATTCAAAAGGCAAATATATCAGCTCACTGGGTCTTGTATGTATTGCCTCTGTAGGACTATCAGGCGTAAAATGTGATAAAACTATTTTTGTAACAGATAGCAGATCTGTTTCCTGAATATGCCAAAGCTCTGAGTCAAAAAGAGCTATTTATATACTCAGAATTAAGGTACTTTGCAAGTAATTCTAAAAGCAACCTATCTACATTGTACCTGCTCTAAGAATAAAAAGGAGTCTGTTGTCTCCATGAGCACCTTCCTTATCATAACTACATAAAGCGCATTTATAAAAAACACTCACATCAAGGATTAAAATCTTCTCTGTTGTACTATGTCTACTATAGTACAGTAATAAGAACAAAGGGAATGAGGGTAGTATTGAAAACTAGTTTATTAATTAATGCACATTTAAGTGTTCCAAAAAAAGTAAGAACCCTTTTTGATAAACATTATTACAAAGGTAGGAGCTCTTATGACAGACTCTGGCTTGAAATTCTTACACATATTGTAGCAAGTGATACTTAAATTTAGCATACCTTTTCCCCCATAGACACACCTCCTGATGTAATGATCACATCAGCACGGCTGATACCCTCATTCAGTGCATTCAGTAAATCATCTGGGCTACAAAAAAAGAACATGCAAGCAGATTAGTGGCATGGAACTATTACAAGCTGTAATGTAAGTAAGTGTCTGTGTGCACACATACAGATGCATATACACAGGTGTTTTAAGAAAGAGATATGGCTCCAGAATAATACAAGATCTTTTCCTTCTTAGGACTCCACACCGATCAATTGAAGTCAAGAACTGCAATCTCATTAAGTGCATGCCACACTGTTTGGCACCTTTCTGTCCAAGAGCTTTGCAACAGGAACCGTGTGATACTTTAGATTGGGACTGAAGGTAGAACCACTGCAGTTATTTTGGAGTACAAACTGAAAACAGGAAAATTAGAAATACTATGCAAGCCCTGGTTGACCTTTCAGAGACTGGCAGAAACTGTATGTTTCAAAAGGTCTCAGAAAGAAAAATTCTTTCCTCCAAGCATTCTTTCTTTGCTCATGGTTTAGTGAAATATAAGTGGCAGTTAGCATGACATGGTGCTGCGTGCAGTACAATTTATGTGACACAAGAAAGACTGTGCTCCCTCACTGAGTAGATATCTCAAGTGAATGCAACCCTGCACACTCATCTCCTCACCAGAGAGCCCTCAGGTGTCCTCTACCTTGGTTATGCCTTACAGGCAGAAAGACACAAGACCCTTTCTCCACCATGTCCAGTGACTGAAGCAGCATCTTCTTTGGCATTACAGTGTGGTTATCCTGCAAAACTTCATTATTTGTGTTGGGTTACATCCACTCTTTAAGGTATGATTGCTTTTTAAGAGGTAGGCAACAAACTACAGCAGAAAGAAGAGCAGTTTCCAGTGCTGTAGACTATATCAGTAAGATAGAATTATACACTACCCCCTTTTTAAAGGAAACAGTGGCTGCAGATACTGTGGCATGGCATCATGACTTCTGTTTAGGGTACTGGGTATCTTGGACACTCTAAATGGCCTACAATGAATGGCTAAACTGTTTTCTTTGGGAGAAAATATAAAACATACAGACTCAAGCAAAACCATCTCCTTTGTTCTTTAGGAAGCAGAGAGATTTTATCAGCTGCTCCTTCCGAAATCTCAAGATCATTTTCTCCAAAACCCAGCACAGGTCTTCACTAGTTATTAAAGGAAAGGAAGGAAAGCAGAAAGAAGCAAGTCTCCTGTTGGCTAGTCAGTATCTTCTTCAGAAGCAACTGTTTCATATTGATTGTCTAAGTAGTATCTGTACATATTAAGATATTGTTTAAGATTCTTCTAGTGTTTGTAATAGGGAAAGTCTCTCAAGATCCAAGTATTTCTTAATCCTTGCCAATGTGGGTGCAGAGTGGAATGCAGCAAGGAGTATGTATTCATTATGCAGGTTGATATAAATTCCTGAAGCAGTCAATTATTACTGGCCTAAGACTGCTTTCAGTATATTTTTCATCAGATTGTGATGGAGCTGAGGACCTTATCTGGAACTTGCTCCAGGCTGCTTCATTTTATCTTGCTTAACTATTTAAAAGCTATTCATGGGTAGCAAAAATACCTGTTTGGAGACATTCTAATTCTGGATTATGAAGTGTGCTTGCTTTTGGTTGTGGTTTGAGAATAATGGCCTAAGACTGCTTTCAGTATATTTTTCATCAGATTGTGATGGAGCTGAGGACCTTATCTGGAACTTGCTCCAGGCTGCTTCATTTTATCTTGCTTAACTATTTAAAAGCTATTCATGGGTAGCAAAAATACCTGTTTGGAGACATTCTAATTCTGGATTATGAAGTGTGCTTGCTTTTGGTTGTGGTTTGAGAATAATGAAAGGTAAAAAGCAAATGAGTATGTGTTTAACTGTTGCTAAAGTTCAATAGAATGGCAGTGCCGCTAATTACATACTGAATGTAGTATATATGCGTTTGTATACATATATAAAATTACTTAACAAAGGAAAAAACCCCACCCCAAAAAGCCCCCTCCAATTAAGCCCAAACTGAAGCCAGGTGAGGAGTCAATTCACACCTTTCCTTATCAGGGTAACATGCCACTGGAGTAGTTCATCATTCAGTTCTTTTATTATGTCATGCAAAAATTTACTAGTGGACTTGGTGCATTTCTTAGCATTTCCAGTAGAATGATCTATATAAAACAAAGCATTTTGAAATTCTACTGCTAGAGCTTTATCCAACCAAGAGTACTGCATATCATCATAGCTGCAAAATGCATTTAAGTCTTCCAAAATCAAAGATATGATAGAAATTTTATTGCAATAAACTGAATGATAATGTTAGTTTTTATTCTGAAGAAAGAAGACATTTACAGAATTCCCTCCCTTGCCTTTGCAGAAAATGTCTCTTTTTGCTGTTTTTGGTACTTCTTTTTGCCACTCAGGTCTGTCCAACTTTGTTATACTTAAGGCTGATAGTTCATGACTCTGCAATTAGCACCAAACACTCCTGACACTAGTCACCCATTGTATCTTCAGTCAAGATTGCAGCAAACATTTTCCTTGCAGTAAGTGGATTTAATGCAGAGAATTATTACTCAAATTGCATATTAACACTTATTTGATACAGTCAGATAACAAAATACTACTTCTCATTTAATTTGTTGTATAATACTGAGCAGCTTCTCCTTTGGATTGACATGGAAGGGGAATTATTACATTCTGGAAGAACAGACAAGATAACTTTGGCATCTGGGCATAACACGACAAGATTTTTCTAACAGGCATGTGACAAACCACTATGAAGCTGAGGCATAACACTCACTGTCTGAGCAGGTACAAATCAGAAGCTACATTCTGAAGCCCTAGCCATTGCTAGGGGTAAGATACAGGATTAGCTAATCATCTAACTTACTATGATAAATTCTTTCAAATATCTTGTCAAAGTGCTGTTCTTGGATTTTTTTTCCTTCATGGATAGAACTGTAACAGGTGCTCAAATATAATGGTGAATACCTTTAAGTAGATTTTGATGGGAAGTCTCATTTCCAGATGGCAAAACTATTCTGTTTCAATTGGTGATTTTCAAAGTCAGAGTGACATTGTGCAGAAAAAGGGAGTGTTCTTTTCTAACATGCTGCAACTTATTAAAAAAATTAGATCACATCCGAGCATCGTCTGTAATTACAATGAAGAAAATTTGTTCGATAAGGACTGCATACAATTCATGAAACAATTCACATAGGTAAATAAGGACAAATCCAAACTTTTTCTCAACATTTAGAGCAGATTGTGTCTGCACAAGTATTATGTGTATTGTACATACATTTTTGAAGCTGCAGACATTATTTGCATAAGGAGTGCATGTATTTTAAGCGTGTCTTTATATTCTCTGCTAATTTTGCCAGTCTGATAAACAGACTATTTACTTTATTTACCTCAATTTCCTGACCCTCTTTATTCAGTGTTATGGAACAGAATGAGCAGTACAAGCTGAAAATTAGTTGGAGGGTAACTATTGTATAATGCCAGCAGCACTCATCCAGGAAGCAAATGCATGACATTGCAGCTGACATGCCACTTGATTTCATTAATTTGTAGAGAGGACTTGCAGGATGGCAGTATACCAGAATAGGAACACCTTCTGGATTTGTGAAAAATTCTGATTATCAAAGCTAGTTTGTGGAAAACTTATGCAGCACTTGACTACTGAGCTGTCATTGAACTGCAGAGATGTACAGGAGAGCTTGAACAAGAAAATGATGCAAGTCTCATTAAAACAGACATCAGCCTTTTTTCTTTTCACTGAAAAGAAATAGCTACATTACAGTCAAGACCAAAGAATTCTCTGTTTTAAGTGCCATTTTGAAGTACCCTAAATTACAGTGTAATTTTCTCTTTCAAATAGAAATCAACGTCTTATAATTCACTTTTGTTGATCCTATTGTTGTGCTTCACTGTCATTAATTATAAATTTGTCAGCCTTTTCTGTGAAACAACCCTCAACAGCAGCAGTGATACATGCAATTAAGATGTTCAGTTTTATAATTTAATTTAGAAAACAAATAACAGCAAATGGTGATCTGCATCACCTACCGCTCTGCAGCAAAATGAGTGATCCCTGTTAAAATCAAACTGGAATCTCTAGTTAGGGCTGACGTATCAAGCCACTGTCACAGGACAAAATCCATAGTTCATTACTAGTTTCCAGGACCATTTCCACCATGTTCTTTGCCACAGTAGTCTCATTCATTCAGATTAACCTCATTACCTGACAGTCATTTCCAGTCCTTGTTGTCCATTGCCATATACAGCTACTACTATTGGGTGACTAATAGAAACACCTGTGATTGTTGTATTTGTCTATGCAGCAGCCTGGGCTTTCAGAAACCATGGTCTTCTGAAAACCTGTACTTGCAAACTTTGTGCATGGAAACCATCACAGTTAGCACCTTCAACCTGTGTGCTTTACAGGCATATTTGACACAGATACAGAAAGTTACACATGCACCAAAATGCACCAGATGCATGCAGAAATGTCTATTGTGAGTTCAAAAGCAGAGCTTTCTTGTCTACTGTGTTGCTTTATTTGCAAGTATCTCTAGTATTTCAGTTATAAGCTGAAAGACACAATTCCTCATAGATCCAGAGGAGCTCTAGATTCCTGGAAATACAGCAAAAACTGAAGTGCTAGCAGTGATCCGACACCAACCACACTAAAGACCGAAGTAGACCAGTTGCTCCTCTAAACTAGAGTAGTTGACTGTGAACTTCAAAAAGCTATGTGCTGTCTGGTGATACTCTGAGTTTAGCATATTCTGGCCATGCCCCCACAAACTAACAACAGTGGTTTGTACTAGTTTTGCATCTTATCAGGTCTCTTTTTGGCTAAACAGATCACCCAGAAAAGTTTTAACTAAGGTACAATGACCTGCTAGAAATTACACATGTATGCAAAAATCCCGAACAAGCTTCTAGTTCTACACCTGAAAAAAAGAATAAACGCCTCCAAAACAGCTAAGAATTTACTGAAGTAAAACTTGTATCAAATAATCAAGACTGTACTTATTGTACTCAGACAGAGATCTCATCAAGCTC